CACACATATATATATATATATATAAAGACATTTTTCGAAAGAAAAAAAACCCATATATAAAGACATAATATTGCAGTCAAGACTACAGCAGGTACATTTCCATCACAAGTCCAACAAGATAACAGTAGTCACGGGGAGCCTATTTAGTTCCATGAGATTAAGTACATTAGCAACCTCTAGATAGCTCAACTTGTCATATAGGCAACAAATCAGAGTCTACAGCTGAAATATAATTGCATCAAACACTACTTAGCTCCATGAAGAGACGCATTAGCAACCACTACATAGGTCAATTATAAGCATAGGTGCATCAAAGTTCACAATTCAAATAAGGACCAGTTGACCTTGATAAGCATCTTAACAGCACCACAGGTAATTTCATCTTCCTCTGCACCGTTCACATGTGGAGTGAAATTAATGGTTCGTGTAGCAGAGGCAGTTGCCACATCACTAGCCTGGGTAGCAATAGTTAATAAAAGCATATCCTTCATTCCAATAGTTACAACACGGCGCCACAACTGGAGCATTCCAGTACCATCACAGATTACACCACCTGCTTTGCTATCATGAAGCACCAGGCGATCCTGAATCCTGGAGGTGCAAGCTGTCATTTCTCCATAGAAATCTCCTTTGAGAACCTTGATTTCAAGGGTAGCCTCCACTGCAAGTTTAACAACTGCAAATTTCACCTCTACAGTGCTCAGCCTGCTATCGAGGTCTTCACATCCAACATGACCATGTTCCTCCCCTCCCATTAATATGCCGTCAATCACACACAGTCCCTTGCTAAGTTCTTGGTCTTTCTTCCCTTGGTCATCCTTGATCTTAAGATCCACCTCAAAATATATACTATCTAGTAACACTAGTCCTCGAGTTGGTCCAGTCAAGATCAACGATTGATCCTATGAGAAAAGGTCACATAACAGATTAGCAGTAACCTCATCTGGATAACGCAATGGAAGTAAAAACAAGCATCGGAGGAAAGTTGTTGTCATGCATGCAAGTATAAAACTGTTTTTAAAGATTTGTACTGATATCTGATTGTATGTGAGCATGTTCGGTTCTAATCTGCTCCATACCATATTCAAAGCATTTTTTCTTATGATATCATGACCACTCATTTTTTTAATCTTACTAAGGGCTTTTTTGGTACAAAGGATATTCATACATGTTTGGGAGGATTTAAACCCTTAATATTTTTTCCTATGTAGGTTGTTTGACTTGTAAGATTGAATCACATAGGATATTTTCCTACCGATACCTTTGCACTACAAACCACAAATTTCAAACTGAATTTTACATCGACTCAAACCTCTAGGAAAGAAACCTTTGTTTATGTTATTGTGCAATCAAACAAACTTTGGCAAAAATAATGCCACTAAAATCCTGCGCTTTTTTCTATTCATGCCTTTTTGGAATTCTGTGATTCAATAGGCCCTAAAATTTACAAGGAAATGGAAGGTTGCAACCTCTGTTCCACCATAACCATGCATTATTCTTATGCTTAAACATGTGTAAACAACAAGAATACATTTAACTATCCTTGCGTATTATTATGAATACCAAGACATGATTGTATGACGATCCAGCCATACAAAACAACAAGCATAAGCTTCATTAACAATACTTGCGTATTTTTATGAATGAATACCAAGAGATTGCAACCTATAATCTGACGATTAAAAAGGGCAACCTGGTGCACGTAGCTTCCGCTTGCGCAGGGTCCGGGGAAGGGTCCGACCACTTTGGGTCTACAGTACGCAGCCTTTCCCTACATTTCTGGAAGAGGCTGTTTCCAGGACTCGAACCCGTGACCTCATGGTCACAAGGCAACAACTTTACCGTTGCGCCAAGGCTCCCCTTCAACCTATAATTTGATGATTGAGCCATACAATTTCCAACACCCTATAATTTATTCCCGGAGCAGAAATGTAAAAGAACTGACTAGCCAAGGAAAAAAAGCGGCCATCACCGCACAATGAGAAATGACTTGTCGTAAGTAAGTATATGGTCTTCAAAGAAAAGCTGTACTACCTCTGAGTTGATGAGCTAGTAATCCTCTCTATGGCGCCGGAACAGATAGACACACTTGAAATCGAGGTAATCTCTTGCAATCACGGTACCATACACCTTTAACGGAAATCCCATATCCGAAGAGGCTATCTTCACTGTGGGATGTTTACAGAGTCAGACACGTCGTACGCCTGTCTTCCGAGTGAGTTGGTGTATTTGGATGGTGTTTTGTGAGTGTATCGCATTGGAGCCAGAGGAGCTGCGTGCGTGCGGTAGGAGAAATCAAAATCGCATTGGAGGGGCAATTAAACATGCATTACATGGGGGAATCAGGAGGAATTGGATTTGGGACTTACACTCCTGGTCGATGTCAAATTTGGACATGTCCCTGTTGTAGAATCGGGTGTAGCAGACTTCCCCCGTCTTGGGATCGCACTCGCGGATCCTGTCGATCACGGCCTGATGCGCTTCCTTTCTCCGCCTCAATTTCTCCATCTTCCGCGCATGCTCCGCCGCCTTCTCCTCAGCCTCCCGCCGCCGCCTCTCCGCCGCTGCCGCCGCTTCGGCCACAACCTCCGCCTCGTCGTAGAAGAAAGGCTCTAAGCAGCCACTCTCGTCTACTACCTCCTCCACCCCTAGGCCGCCTTCCGCCATGAGAACACTTAGGTCGCCTTCCGCCATGAGAACGCCGCCGAGGTCGAGCAAACCCTGTCGCAGCTTCTTTTGAGAGACTGCATCGCGGCTCTCGGACTGGTAGGCCCATTTTTTCTTTCTAAATTTTAAATGAGCAATTAAAATCAAGTCTCAACATTCATACAGAAGGATATAGAATAGCAAAATTGCGAAAATCGAATCCAAATAAAAAAAAAGTCCATTTTACTACCCTGAACAAAGTTGGTGGTTCACATAATCCCCTGGTACCGTCGATGAGGGTTTAACCATCAAACCAATCTCATGTATATGTAGTGATGCACCGGACTCGTCTAACCGTGTCCGTGGTCTTGACGACCTGTCACTTATTCTGGTTGGTGAGGCCGTCTAGTGCTCGGCTGTTAAGGCCGCCGCACATTCTTCCGCGCGTAGAGAACGCTCAATATTTCCACTAACTGTGATGGTGCCGCGTGGACCGGGCATCTTAAGCTTGAGAGAAGCGTAATGCGGTACTGCATTAAAACGAGCGAAAGCCACTCTTCCGAGTAGTTCTTGATAGCCACTTCGGAATGGAGCGATGTAGAAAGTTAATTTTTCGCTTCGGAAGTTGTCGGGAGAACCGAATACAACCTCTAGTAATAGAGAGCGCGTACAGAGGGCCTCTGGACCTGGTATTACTCCCTTGAAGGTAGTATTACTATGGCTTATTTTTGTCGGGTCTATCCCCATTTTGCGGACTGTGTCCTGATATATCAAGTTTAGACCACTGCCGCCGTCCATAAGGACTCGTGTGAGGTCGTATCCGTTTATTGTTGGGTCTAACACCAAGGCAGCCAATCCTTCATGCCGGATGTTTGTCGCGTGATCCCCGCGAGTGATCGGGCAGACCAACCAGGGGTTGAACTTAGGAGTGACGGGCTCTATGTCACGTATGTCTCGGAGTGCATGTGTGCTTCTCCTCTTCGTCACATGGATCATGTTTACTGTTTTAACCTCTGGTGGGAATTTTTTCGGTCCTCCAGTGCTTTGCTGGTGTGACGCACCCGATTCAATTGTACACTAATCGTACACGCAAATGTGTACGATCAAGATCAGGGACTCACAGGAAGATATCACAACGCAACTCTACAAATAAAATAAGTCATACAAGCATCATATTACAAGCCAGGGGCCTCGAAGGCTCGAATACAAGAGCTCGATCATAGACGAGTCAGCGGAAGCAACAATATCTGAGTACAGACATAAGTTAAACAAGTATGCCTTAAGAAGGCTAGCACAAACTGGGATACAGATCGAAAGAGGCGCAGGCCTCCTGCCTAAGATCCTCCTAAACTACTCCTGGTCGTCGTCAGCGGGCTGCACGTAGTAGTAGGCACCTCCCGAGTAGTAGTAGTCATCGTCATGGTGGCGTCTGGCTCCTGGGCTCCAACGTCTGGTCGCAGCAATCGAGTATAGAAAGGGGAAAAGAGGGAGCAAAGCAAGCGTGAGTACTCATCCAAAGTACTCGCAAGCAAAGAGCTACACTACATATGTATGCATTGGTATCAAATGGAATAAGGGTATAATATGTGGACTGAACTGCAGAAAGCCGGAATAAGACGGGGATAGCTAGTCCTTTCGAAGACTACGCTTCTGGTAACCTCCATCTTGCAGCAGGAGAAGAGAGTAGATGGTAAGTTCACCAAGTAACATCGCATAGCATAATACTAACCGATGATCCTCCCCTCGTCGCCCTGTGAGAGAGCGATCACCGGTTGTATCTGGCACTTGGAAGGGTGTATTTTATTAAGTATCCAGTTCTAGTTGTCATAAGGTCAAGGTACAACTCCAAGTCGTCCTGTTACCGAAGATCGCGGCTATTCGAATAGATTAACTTCCCTGCAGGGGTGCACCACATTTCCCAACACGCTAGATCCCCTTTGTCCGGACACACTTTTCTGGGTCATGCCCGGCCTCGGAAGATCAACACGTCGCAGCCCTACCTAGGCACAACAGAGAGGTCAGCACGCCGGTCTAAATCCTGTGCCATAGGGGCCTGGGCCCATCGCCCATTGCACACCTGCACGTTGCGTACGTGGCCGGAGAGCAGACCTAGCAACCTCCATTACAAAGGAAGTTGCGTTACGCGGTCCAACCCGACGGCGCCGCTCAGTCGCTGACGTCATGAAGACTTAGGCTGATACCACGACGTCGAGTGCCCATAATTGTCCCTGCGTAGATGGTTAGTGCGTATAGGCCAGTAGCCAGACTCAGATCAAATACCAAGATCTCGTTAAGCGTGTTATTTTAAAATAACCACGGACACCGACCAGGGCCAGGCCCACCTCTCTCCTAGGTGGTCTCAACCTGCCCTGTCGCTCCGCCACAAAGTAACAGTTGGGGGCCTTCGGGAACTCAGGCCCACCTCTACCGGGATGGAGCCACCTGCCCCTTCAGCCCCCAACATCGGAATCACTCGCAGGTACTCCTACGAGCCGACCCGACTTTAATCACCACCTATATAGCATGTATATATGTATAAGTATATACCCGTGATCACTTCCCGAGTGATCACGACCCGATAGTATAGCATGGCAGACGGACAAGAATGTAGGGCCATGGATGATAAACTAGCATCCTATACTAAGCATTAGTATTGCAGGTAAAGGTAACAACAGTAGTAGCAAGGACAAGCTATGCATCAGGATAGGATTAACGAAAAGCAGTAACATGTTACACTACTCTAATGCAAGCAGTAGAGAGTAGAGTAGGCGATATCTGGTGATCAAGGGGGGGCTTTCCTGGTTGCTCTGGCAAGAGAGAGGGGTCGTCAACACTGTAGTCGTACTGGGTAGTAGCGGCGTCGGTCTCGGTGTCTAGAGAGAGAAGAGGGGGAAGAAACAATAAATATAATGCAAACAAAAGCATGACAATACATGACATGACAAAGCGTGATGCTAGGTGTGCCCTAACGCGGTACGAGGTGGTACCGATGAAGGGGGAAAACATTCGGGAAAGTATTCCCGGTGTTTCGCGTTTTCGGACAGATGAACCGGAGGGGAAAAGTTGCGTGTTTTCTATGCTAGGGATGTGTGGTGGACGAATGCGCTGC